CCCAACCAAGGGTGCAAGCTTCATCAACAATCGGTGGGACATCGTGAACGAAGTTGTCCTTCGCAACATCACCCGTCAGCGCAGGTTGAATGCGGATTGGGCGCTATCATGCATCCAGTCTGACTTGCGCCACAGAATCGCCAGGCGCCCAGGCTCGGAATGGCTTGACAACCGGTGCCAGGTGGCATTCAACAGTGTCATCAAATGTGATGAAGGAGGGTGGGTGCTGATCGAAGACTTGGTGAGGCATGAGCCACTATGGACCCATGAAAGCAGACGCATCACCGAAGGGGTCTCAAGGACCGATGACCAACAGAAGAAGAGAGTGTACAATGAAAGACTTCAGCTATTGTTCCAGGGGAACATGATTGCAGCCACGAAACGCAACAAGGCCAAGATTCGGTTGCAGTTCCTGGGTGTGAGAGTGAAGGACCCCGGCACGGAAGTTCTTGGATCAGCAGGTTCGAACATGTTGGTATCAGTTCGGGACCAGATCGCGGAGATCCAGAGCAACGACCATTGCCGGCATGGCCAGAGGTACCTGAACCTATGCAACGGCTGGGTGAAGCCATGGGCAGTTCGGGCTACGAGTGGTCACTCTGCGCATTCAGATCCCCAGAACAACTTGCTTCAGTTGGACAAGAACAGGTTCGCAATATCTCCATCTATGACCCTCTTGCAACGTCTTGGAGGTGCGTTCCACGCTACGGCATGCCGCAACTTGGATTCCATTGTCACGCAAGGCATCATGCCTGGTTCGGAGGACCCCGACGGGGACTTCGACCATAGGCGCCAATTCCGAGGCAACCAAGGCGGCAGACTCCACAGCTATTGGGGGGTGTTTGCGCCGTTCGATCACCGGAACGCAACGACCAAGATGCGAGTACACGGACGAGACGCCAAGCATATGCCATTGGCGGTTCTTCATGTCCCATCGCAAGATCTTGCACGAGAGGATGGACGTATCACAGACAGCGGCATCATGATCGTTGGTCGGACGATACCTTTCCACTTCGTCAAGGAGGTATGGTTTTGCGTCCCTGATCCTCGAGATACACACTCTTTCGCTCTGGTGGAAAAGATCTACGATGAAAGGTTGGAGAAAGAGCTGGTGTTGGACTACAATGCATCACCGTTGCTTCCCGAGTTCGAGAGATACCGAACGCCAAGCAAGATCATGGAATTGCTTTGCGAGATGCCTCCTGGACCCCACGACACAAGCAAGGAGCAGATCATTCGTGACCTCACGACTGTCCTGGAGTCCCACAGGGAGAACACGGTTCGGCATCACTACATGGACAAAGGGAATCAAGTTTGTCATCAAGAATTGGCGACCCGAAGACCTACGCAGAGACGAGGATGGAAGGAGAATGAGGGTATGCCCGGCATGCTACAACATTGTTCCAGCATGTTTCTCCCGATGCACGTCTTGCTGGTCACAGTTCATTTCAAGCGGATATTACCAAGGTTCTCCACAACGGGAGACTCCTACGGAGATCCCCAGTGACTTCATTGCTCAGACAATGGAAGCCGCAGCAGCCGCAGTGCCTGAGGCGCCCGAAGAGGAGCAGGAAGCCATGGAGGTAGAGACCGTTGCGGAACCTGAAGAAATCCCAGAACCATCTGTCGTTGCGGAAGACGATCCAGAACAGGAACCTGATGAAGAAATGGACGTTGAGCCTGAAGAGGACTTTGATGACGCAGTTCCGGAAGCAATCGCACAGGAACGTCGTCCCGTCTTCATTACCGGCCAGTCTTTGAACATCGATCCTGAACTACAACTTGCACGTACTGCCATGCAGCCATCTTACTATTCTGGAAAGCGAAATGCCCATTGCATTGACGCGAACATGACCGCTCTGTCGTACATGGCATACGTGGTATGCCGATCCATCTACAAAGCTTGGTCAGGATTCGCAAAGTGGGCGACTATGCCGTTGTTTCAGATGAGGGAAAGTTTCGCGCTTGGCCAACGCTATGATGTGCTTGGAAAGTGGGGATCTTTGGCAGCAGTGGATAAGGAAACAGGTGTCAGCAGGGACGTGACTGATGAGGAGATCATTCGCTTTGCGAAAGGAACCTGAGAACCTCAAACAGTATGATCCCAACGGGACTTACACCTTGAAGCGCTTCCGGACGAACCAGATGCTTTCTTTACTTGTACGTGGAGCCAACATGATGGGAATTGGCAGGGACAACTTCAGCCCTACTACTTATTTGAAGAGCGACAGGGATGAAGATGTAAAGGCAATGCACTTTTGCTGCCTGAACGTCCTATGCGAGGTGATCCCAATGGTGACGGGACACCAACAATTCTCAGTGCTACGACCAACGCCAACTGGAACAGTGGACTTCCTGTACATCGACCCTGTCGGTATTCTGCTGACTCATTCTGATCAGTCAGTCCAGACCATCGCCTTGCTAGTGGACCACAGCGTTCAAATGCCTGCGCATTTCATGGACAGACTGAATAGATCCAAGACTGAGAGACAGCAAAACCCGACGACAAGACGTACAGAAGCCCTACACCACATTTCGGCCGCTGACTATCTTCCTCCAGGTGGTACTTCCATCCTGGACACGCCTGTCACTACGGAGGAACGTGAAAGCGCTTCTTCATCCAAGGGACCTTCAAAAGGGCGTGGAAGAACCGGAGGCGAGCAACATGGTGGCTGGAACACCAATTCCTACCACGACTACATCGCCGCCAAAGGCCGAAACAAAGGCAAGGACAAGGGAAAGCCAAGGAACCAGTATCCAGAGGAGAACCTCCGGCCCTGGGAACGCGATCCTACGTCAACGCGAAGATGGTGGCGAGACAACGCCTGATCTTCCTCGCCTATCAGTTCGTGACCTCTGAGCTTCGCCCGTGGAATGCCATCGCGAATGCTTCTTTCTTCGGTGACGCCTGATTCGTTTGTCATTTCAGGGGATCGTTACTGACGTAGATGAGTGTCACAACGTTTCTAATTGGGATACAAAGCTCTGATTTTCAATGTCAACGTTGCGGCGGAATTTTCTTCTGTCCTATCGTGCCATCTTCCGGGTGAGCAGCGTCGGAGACGCAACTCATGGGGGGTGCGAACGGACTGCGATGCCTTGTCAAGTTCTAAGGTGTCACTATAAGAGCTGTGAGCAAGACCGTGTAAAGTGCAAGAGAAGGGGGCACGCTACGCGTCCCTCGACTCTAGGGGGCATGCTACGCATCCCTCGTCTTTACCTTTCTATGTGACCGCCAACGCAACGTTTGGCTCAAGTCAATGCCCATAGCTAAGTGCTATATGTGTCTTCTATCCTGAGCAATCAGAGCTATCCCGTTGCACAGACGAACCGCCGCCGGCAGTGAGTGCAAAAGGAACGGCCGCCGGTTCTGCCTGCATAGGATCGCACGTGTGGGAGTAAGAGGGAGAGACAGGGTCCAGTCTGTGGAGAGTGCTAGCCAGCCACACCTACATTCATTACAGCTCTGGTGGGGAGAGCAGCAACCAAGTCGAGATCAATCCCCCACGCAGTTATCAAGTCCCATGATCCTTCAAGTATTAGTATTTGAATGTTAAGGCTCTAGGGTTTGAACATGCTCACATCTGCCTTTTCAGCTGAAAGTGTGGCTAGGCAGATGCCTTTGTTGCGTAAGATCGCAGCCGGAATAACTACCCATAGGATTCCTGAGGGTTCCTTGCCTTACTATCGCTATACCAAACAGTACCCCAAACCCCATTTGGGATTTGTTGTTTAGGATCTGAGGCTTAAGTCTGTTGAACTGCGTGCCTGGTCTGGTCTGAACACACCCGAACCATCGAGCGGAGTTCTTTTGGCCATACATGCACGCATGCATACATAGTATGTAAGTTTGAAAGATTGTCGGCATGTAGGTATGTCTGCTTGCATGCATGTAAGTTTCGTTTGTATACATGTACATGCAGGATTAATGTGTCAATGTATGTACGTGTGTCTATGTGCATTCTTAAAATGTGTGTGTGTGTGCACATATATCTACACAAGAATATATGCACACACATATTACGTGCTTATGTTCGAAGGTCTAGGGCGTCTCTTTGCTGATGTCTCAGATACAGTAAGACCCAGACATGGATGACTCCGTCGATGCTGTGTTGACTTCGGGGCAGCACTTATTTCGGGCTGGCGGGCGTATGTGTTCAGTGGCATGCGAGAGTGTGGCATTCCATCAACATTCCCGCTCGATAGGTGGAGAATGTCTAATTTGGGTTTAGGATTTTTTTTACTTGGAGGGGCAGGGGACTAAGTAAGCCGTTTATATGTAGGGTTATAACTGGGGTAACTCCATTTAGGGTACTTACAACTCTACTTATAACCTACTTACTAAGCCGCTCCAAGTAGGGTTCAGGGTGTTTTTAGTAAATCTAGTGTGCGGCGCATACCCCGCTCTGATGGCTCAAGCAGCAAGGCCTGCAACGCTATGAACCCCTTCTACTGTTGATGAAAAAAATCCTGCATTACCTTCAGGACCCAAAACTATGGGAATTTTGGTACACTCCCACTTTTTGGGTCGTGCAGGATTTATACCATCAACCGTAGTAATGAGGTCATGTCTCTTAACCTTCGGGTGCCTAGGATTCAGGATCCCTGACATAGCTGTGCCATTTCAGTCAAGTACACGGTCTGACAAGCAATCTAGCGGCCGGAATAACTAGAGTAAGCCACTATGGTAGAGTGGTGCAGTTTTGTAGGGCCTATAACCTTTGTTTTTCGACGGCCGCAGTTTCAGTCACGGCTTCTGTGAAAATTGCCAGCATGGCAATCTCTAGTCACTCGCATGAGTCAGTTGTGGATCAGTCTTGAGCCTGGGATCGAAACCACATGCCTTTTCTTGCGAGAGGTATGGGGGAGAGCTATGTAGCTGGCATGCAGTTTTGGCGCTGGTTGCACTATAGTAGTATAGATTAAGGGCTGTTCGACTTCTTGGCATTTCTGGTTTCCCCCATCAGCCCTTTCTCCGACAATGTCTGACGAAGATGCAGATCTGGCCGCCGCCATTGCACTGTCCATGGCCGATGTGGCAGAGAAGCCACGTCAGGGACGCTTGATCGAACTTGAGGCAATGGCTGAGGGAGTTGGGTCTATGTATTTACCCATATAGGCTCCATAGTAGTTCCTTTTTGGGATTACAGAGTAGGAGTCTAAATACGAACCCCAAACAGGGACGACTATGGAGCCTATGGGTAGTTTCGTGGATCTAGGACTAGGTTTCGTTTTGAAACTAGTAGCCATGCTGAGCTGAGGCAGAATGACACGGCATGTCATCGATGCCGACAATTCGTGCCTGTTCAACTCGATAGCCTATGCCTTAGAAGGCCCGGGTATGCAATGCACCTCCTAGCTGAGCTTGTGCACTTTATCAAATGGGAAACGGAGGGACCCTTAATGGGGACCTTTATATAGGGCTCCTTAAAGGGATCTTTTAAGGATTCTATTTAGGGTTTAGGGTTTAGGGTGTAGCCTTTTGCCTGGGTTCTCGGAGACCTTAAGCCAGGCAGGGGTTGGCAAAAAGGGTTGCATGCCAATCGGGTGCTCTTTCCAGCCTGAAGACAGATTAACTAAGACATGAGCAGCCATAGTTTTGGGGGAGCCCATAAAACCCACATTAACTCTAAAGCTTCAAGTTTCAAGTTTACTTGCCTGACTTGCCTGAAACTCCTTCCACATACGGCCTTATACTGATACAGTTAGGGTTTAGGATACGGTCTCGGACTTTAAGTAGTGTTTGAAGGGTTTCCTTGGACTCTCCATGTGCGTTGGTCTTGGAAGACCTCTTCGCACGTTTTCAGGCCTCTGTTTTATCCCACGCTCCGAAAAAAGATCTTGCATCAGGCAGGAGGGGTGCAGGGCTTTAGTATAGTATGATATACCATAGTATAATATATCATAGTACGTATAGTATAATATATGTATATATACACACACAAACGCAGTAGGTAGGGCTTTCAGATTTCGGTTGTCAGAGCTTCAGTGTAAAGGCTCAGCAGCCGGTGCTCCAGGTTTTAGCAAAGTTTATGGCCACGAGCTTCTACCCTGAGCCCTAATTAAACCCGAAAGCCTCAAGAGTTTAGCGTTTAGGGGCACTTTGCACCACATATCGCAAATTGCTGTCCACTTGGTGCCGGCAGGACGCGCAACGGACAAAGCTCCGACACTGCGCGAGACCGTGGCTGCAATCATACTCTCGTCGCCAGACGTGCCCCTCGGCTGGCAAATTCCGGGAGTTCGGTGCTCATTACCCATACTATTTTGGGGGGTTCCTTTATTATAAGTATAGTACAAATGGGCCCCAAAACCCTATTCTAATAATTAAGGCCCATGTAGTTGAGGTTAGGGGAAAAGGTTTAGGTGTTTGGGTGTGTGCGCTAGGGGTTTATTGAAAGCTGAGGTTGCATGGCTGCAGCATATGAGTCCCTGCCGACATGTTTCATGTCTTCATGTGCGGACTTGTACAGCATGATTCCTTATTCAATTGGATGTTGGGGGGTTCTTAGTTCTAGACTTATCTGGTTTCTCTTGTGATGTCGTACTGTTCTTGTTATTGTTTTTGTTCTTGTTGTTGTTGTGGTATTTTTTTGCTTTTTTTGTTTGACCCTATTCTGTTCTGTAGATGTTTGGCACTCTCATGATCCAGTACGGTCCTGAAAGCTTCATTAATTGATGTTCTCGCGCTGTTGAGACACTACGACCTCGTCCAATTTAGAGGTCCAGAAACACTTGTAGTGCTGAACCCCAAGCCCTAAACCCCTACGCCTCAAACCCTGATAGTTGACGCCTAAAATTAGAAGTCTTATGAACGAAAGCCGTTTCCTCTAGCCCCAAGCCCAATGCGGAAGCCTCAAACCCAGAACCCTAAACCTCCCCCCCCTCCAACCTCAGTTTCTTCAAGCCTCAACCCCGGGCTTAGATTGCAGAGGTATGACAGCCTGCTGCCCAAAATTCCCAAACTCGAAGCCCCAAGCTAGCCTAAAACCCCAAGCCCCAAAACCCTAAACCTCCAAACCCTCAACCCCTAAAGCCCTAAGAATCTGGACCCTAAACCCTTCCGTCCCAATTAAGAACCCTAGCGTCCCAACGAAGGTGGACAGAGGTGGTCCTGGGGAAGAGCCCCGAGGAGTACGCAGACTGGTTTCCTGGCGCGCCGATGGGTTTGAGGTCTTTAGGGTTTGGGGTTTGGGCTTCGAGTTTACTTGGAGGTTCATGGGTAGTTATAAGTCGGGTTATAAGTCCCCTAAATATGGGTTATAATTAGGGTTACCCTACTTATACCCCTACCTATAGCTACCCATGAACCTCCAAGTCAGGACCTTTGGGGTTTGGAGTGTCGGGTTTAGGGTTTCGGGCCCTTTGGGTCGAGAGTGTATCTGTGTTTGGGATGCTTGTTCAATTCCCTTACGGCCGCTTGGAGTTATCTGGGTGCTGGCAAAACTAGGGTCCCTTTTTGGGTCCCTATTATAATACGGCACCTATTATTGAGGGTACCCCAAACAGGGACCCTAATTTTGCCAACTACCCATCTGCTTGCACAGGCCCCATACACTGCAACCCACTCATGACCTTCACCCAAGCCCTAGCTAGCAAAGGACGCTCGAAGAGAAGAGAGGCACTCCCCAAACAAGGTAATATAGGGTCCAAAAAAATTACCGATACCATCTGGGAGTAGAAGCATACTGTAATGTACCCCAAAACTCCATTCTAATTGTTGAGGCGCCTACATAAGTCGTAACTTGATGGAAGCCCCGTTGTCCACACCAGGGCATCCATCAAGCTCCTTGGGGTTTTGGGTTCGCCGGTTGAGTTTCTGTATTGCTTTCCACACACGCCGTACTTCTGCTACACATACATACATACATGCGTGCATGCGTGCATACCTCGTACCAGCATACCAGCATTCTCCCATATTTACATTCGTAGCAAAAAGAAAAGGAACAGAAAGTGAGCACGAGGGCTCACATTTCTGTAAGGATCCAAGACCCCGAACACTGGGGCGGAGGGATCGAGCTGGCAGTCTTGTCGGACCATTACGTCGCTGGGACGTAGACCGGGCTCCCCAGAGACTCCAATATCCCTTAATTAGGGAATATTCCTTAAATCATAGTCGGATTATGATTTACGGAATATTCCTTAATTAAGGGATATTGGAGTCTCTGGGTCTTGCTAGGGTTTCAGACTTTGGGGGCTTAGAGTTTAGGGAGGTCTTGTTGCGATTTACTTACAGTGTACGTGTAACATTTTTTAGGGTTTATGCTGTTTCGGGTAAGGGTCTGGGTTTCAGAGGGTGTTTTGGGGTCTTGTAGATGACGAACTTTACTGACGATGCTGTAACTTACTGGCTGCTACAGTTTTCAAGAGCTACATCAGTACGATAAGGAACTTAGTTTAGACTACCAAGCTTAGCAAACACACGGCTGCCGGGTCAGGTATTTTGAGTTTTGGGGTTAAGGCTTCAGGGCTGTATAGCTCTTAGGGTAAAGCGTTGTGGCTTTGGGGGTTGTGGTCGTTTAGGGTACCCGACTACGTTCCTTTGCTGACAGGCAACAAGACGAGAAATACCTTAAACGCATACGAATACAGAAAGGACTGTTGTGAGGTGGAGTTTTAGGTTACGAGCATCAGTATCAATGTTTCTTGAGTTATTGCTCCTTCCCGCTAACCCTTGGACAATCGCAGACTGGCGACGATCATCAACCAGACTCAAATCAAAATGCGATTCCAGAACGCCGGGATCTTTGGTCAATGGAGCTCGGGTGCCGAATGCAAGCTCGCCAAGATGCTCGCCGAACCGGTCTGAATGACTGCCAATGCAAAGGCCTTGGCTATCCAGGACCAGAAGTCTGACGCCTCAGAGCAGAGCTGCGGAAGGGCATATTCTTCCAACTTCCCAAGTTCGTCCGCCGCTTTTGTCTTCGACGGCCACTTCGGACTACATCACGCACTATGTAGTGCTTTTGAAGAACGACCCGTTCGCAAAAAGGGTCATCCTCGATAGACTTCGATAGCTACATCAGCAATCCTGCTCCCGCGGGGCCAAGGATGTCCGAAGGCTCGCGCTTTCACGAAACACCCACGGTTGGCAACTTGTTGTCGATATTCATCGATCCAGACAACCGCCGAGTCTTTGCCACTGGCGACCATCTTCAAAACGATAACGAGAAAGGACAAGGCCAGGTTGCTCCCAAAGGGTCGAAAACTCCGAAGAATGAGAATCAGCTGGCGTCTTCATGATAATGCCTGCCGCTTCGAAAAATATGTCAAACAGAACAATCTTCAAGACTTCAGTAAGACCACTCGCTGTGTGGTAGATGCATTGCGTGCTCCCAAGCACAAGTGCCCCCAGCGGTGGACCGGAGCTGTGAAGAAAAGGTGCGCCAAGGTGCGCCGCATTCTGAACGTTGTCTTCAGCTGCGTGATCCGCATTCGTGCAAGCTCTGGGCTGCCGAGGCATGTATGTTTTACAACAACAGTCTGCAGGATGTGCCAGTCGCCGCAAGGATGTCGTTGCGCGCAACACCGTTCGCAAGCGTCCAGGCGACAAGGCTCAAAAGAAGCCGGCTGCAGCTAGGTTAGTGTTGTCCTTAAAATTGCACCTGAGGCGGACGGGACATGGGTAGTTGTCAAAATTATGTCCCTTTTTGGGTCCTTGATATAATACGGCACCTAATATTTAGGGTACCCAAAAAAAGGCCATAATTTTGGCAACCACATGTCAACACGACTTTCATGCATCTGTTTGTTCACGGTGCAATGCTCCGACTCCAGGGTCATCACTCCACCTCACGACACACACACACATACACACACACACACACACATTCCAAATTAGCACAAACTCCACCTCACAACAGTCCCCTCTATACGAATAATGTAGGGCTCGGGGGTTACGGGTATCGGGTCGATGGTGCAGGAATCAGGGTTGAGGATATAGTCGGGTTTAGGGTGTAGGGTCAAGAGTTGCTTGCAAGCCCCACGCCCGACTGTTGCATGTTCATGTTCGGGCCGGAGCAATTGGTAGTAGTACATTTGTGGGTGCCAGACAATGCTTAGGTTAAGATATAAGGACTTCCAAATCCAATACAGTGTAATCATGCCGGCCCCGGCAGTGGAACACCCCAAATCCTTGTCATCCGCACATCCGATCTTCATGCACATTTTTCTGACATGCAGAGATCGCTTTTCGAACCACATGCAGAAGATCGCAATCACTCTGCTTTGTTCATCTTTGTTCAGTTTTGGTCGTCTCAGTGTTTTTTCATGCCCTTTCCAAAACGACGGTCTGGGCGCTGCGGCTGAGCCTACGTTTGGGATTGCGTTTCCTTAAATCCCAAACCCGAAACGCGAGGCTCTCAACCCGAAACTCTACGCCATAAACCAGGAAGCAGAGATAGCCGCTTTCGACTGCCAATCGCTGCGGGTTGATATCTTCGGCGAGGGCAAGGGCTCCTTCGTTAAATCTTGGTTCAGGATGTCGTCAGGTTTAGGTTTAGGGATGTTGCGGGCTCCGGGTTTACGGTTTTTCGTATTTGAGGTTCAAGGTTTTTGGTATTCTAGCATTCTGATCCTACTAATGGGGTTGTGTTAGCCGCTTCAGTAGGTTGGAGTGGACTTTTTTATTCGGATTCGCTGCAGATGCCAGACATGGCAATCCTGAGCCGTAGTGCCTGAACCAGGCCAGAGTTTCGTAGGCAACGCCAGCTGCACTGAAGAACTACATGGAAGTCTCTTAAAGTTATGGCGGCCTTCCATTTCAAAGGGCTGCAAGCGTAAGTTGAAGATACGTGGGCGAGTCGTAAAGAAGATGCCTCGTCCCACCTTGTTTGGAGCCTGTGACAATTGCGGGTCTTTGTGCGGATGTTAATAATAATATAGAAGCCGAAAACCTACCAATGTTATTCCTTCGGGTTTCTTCTTATCATAGTACAACAATGATCCTCAAAACCCTATCATGTTCATTAACGCCCCTACTCTATCTAAATTGGGAGCCTGCATTTTCTGAAACCATCACATCGTATGCCTGAACCAGAGCATGGCGACTCGAAGTGGTTTAGTTTTAGGGTTTAGGGTTTGGGGTTTAGCGTTTCGGTTCAGGGATTCAAGGATAGGGTTGAGGGTGTAAGGTGCCCAATGTTCGTTCTCCTCATCTGCTGTTGCCATGAGGATCCGTAGTACTTTCACGGCATTGAGTTTACATACGAACTTTACACTACTGGCATGCAGGACCTAGTACAATGCGTTTGCGAAGGCAATCCCAGACACTAAACTAAGCCGACAAAAGGGCTCAAGGATTCCTGTGGTCGTTCTTGCAGAGGCTATCAGCAACGTGCCCTTCTAATTTACGACGGCATTCACTACGATGTGTTGGTCCGTGAGGCTTTGCCAGGACACAGATGCTCTAAGCTACCTTGATCTAATTTGACGTGTAAGTGTTCTTGCAAGCCCGTATGAAGAGTGTATGGGGATCCAACAAATATGTTGGTTGCCCTAAACCCTCGGAGAGCTCAAAGGCAATCGGCAGAAAATTCTAGGGAAAGCCGTTTTTTGAGATAGCCAGGACCAAACCTCAAGTTCAAAAAATTCGTTGAGCCTTCGCCCCTAAAGCAAACCATTGTCCAGAATACCTGCCTGGAATCAGACTTGTCATGCTCTGCTCTTTACTCCCCTCATGCTTGGTTGAAACAGTGCAGCGACAGCTAAGCCATGGACGACAGCGTGTGTAGTTGTTGGCGTATCACGTCCAAGCCTGGCTTCAGCTGTTTCGAAGGAACCTTGCAGCTTTGCTTCGCATCACTGAGTGCTCTTTCACAATCACCATGTCCTCAACCCCAGGTTTAGGGGTTGAGGGTTTAGGATTTGGCTTTTTCCTTTTTAGGGAGGCCTTTCGGACTGCAGCTTAGTCTGAGCGCGCTTTGGCGCCAGAAGGCTTCTTAATTGCCCGCTTAATCGGACGTACTTCCCGTGGGTGTTCTTAATTCTTGATCCCGGAAGTGGAAACTGGTGACGTGCTCGATCCAACACGGAAATGGCTTTGGCTTGGGGCTTTAAGCGTGCAGGGCTTATAGGGTTTATACAACTGGTGTGTGACGCTGATGCTGATCATAATGCTGATGGTTGGCATCGCCGTCGTCGACATCACAATTTCGAAATCACATCATTATCGTTGTCATCAGGGTCATTGGCACCATCTTCCTTCTCCTCACGAATAGAGACGTGGTCGTCATCATCTGCTGCACCCCAATGGAAACCCAAACACCACTACATCCCACACCGTACACCCTAAACCGTAAACCCAGAATCCTGTGAGGAGATCCGGAGGAGGTGGCTCTGTTTGGCGTGGCGGATGCCGCAGCCCTCGAGGAGGCAAGGCAGATCGCCAAGGCCATCGGGGACATGGCACTTTGGGATTTGACTGCATTAATGCTTTCGGGGCTTATGGGCTTAGGATCTGGGTTTACTCGGTTTCTGCTATCGTGTTTGGGAGTGCTAGCTTTTTTCAGACTGCAAAGCTTTGTCAACTGCTTTGTTCATGAGCTGGTTCAGGGATGTGGAAACGAAAGTGCTCTGATCAAGCCAGGGCTTGGGATGATTATTGAATTCCCTCATTGGTGAGCCCTAATTATGCAGAGTTTTTGGGACTGTTGAAATCGACACCTCGTTTCAAGTTTCGAAACTGGGGCAGTTGCCCGGTTCAAAAACCTCCTGGATCGTTCTGCTACAATTTGTTCGCTTTCGAGTTTCGCGCTCTTGGGTTCATCAGAGCTTATGGTGTCGGAGCGCAGCTCAACCGAATGTCGCTGCTTCGCGTTGCTCAGCTGTTTTTATGTTTCGCAGATTGGCTTTCGAAATCGCGACAGAGGGGTCTCAGTAGGCAGGGGTCTCTTGAGGCAAGGGCAGCAGGACCCTCAAAATTGCATACCTATACTATTTTGGGGGCTCCTTATTATAACTGTAGTATAATGGGCCCCATTTCGGTCTATTGCAGGGTCCTCCGCGGCCCGGGCGGTCACACTTCCCCTCAGTCGGTAACCTGTGGTGAGCTAGAGTGTCGAGCCTGTGTAGACTTTCATGTTGGCGCACTTGCTTCGCAGTCTGCAGGGAGTGTCGAACTCCGTCCGCCCCAGGCATTGGTGTTATTGGTGTGCTTCCCCTGCAGTTTTCGGCTTTCAACAGTTTTCCCAGCTGTATATAGACTATACAAGCTGGCGGGCATGGAGAGCCATGGCGATAATGACAGCGAGCAGAGCATTGCCACGGCAGCAGCGACACTGCGACACATGGAGTACCTGGGGATCCCCAAACCTACTGCTTTCGGGGTTGTACCCTGCAATACAGGGGTCAAAGGTATAACCTACTATTCTCAAGCTTTTAAGGGGCTCGGGGCACCAGGTATGTGGTCATGACTTTGGATCAGATGAGCGACCAGCTGACCGAGCTGCGTGGCATGAAGGCCTCCCTGGCAAGGGTTGAGAAGAGTCTCAGGACAATGCGGTCCGACTCCTTCCTCACAAGGCGGGCTGATGTTTCGCATATATTTACGGTTTCTGCTGCATCCGGTACTGTAAGCTGCTAGCAATATTGGGTTTGGCATATTGAATGAGTAGGAAACCATATGCCGTTATGGCGCTTAGATAGTTATACCATACCCAACCCCCGAATCCCTATTTTTCACAGAAAGGGACGCTGTGGGGCCCCTGTTTTTCCACACTGTAAATATAGGGGCCCCAGGGCGTCCCACCCTCATTTTGCAGGCCTGGCCCTGATATGAGTTGTGCAAGCCCCCAGGTCGCAGGAGGTGGCGCGGGACGGTTCCGCGCGATCTGCTTCCAGGGTGGACGGGGATGTCTCAAGCTCCTGGGATCGAACTACGGGGTCCTGAACCCTATAGTGAACCCCAGAAAGTTGGAAGATAGATTTAGGACGCAGAGTGCTGGCATCCCCTATACTTTACCCTAAGAGCATGAGGATACTGATGTTCCATTTTTCTGGCATCAACTGTAATTACGGAGTCCTGAACCCTACACCCCAGGCCTTTTCAGACATCCCGAAGCTACCGGCAATCGACACCAGCGTTTTTTACAGTTGGGAAAGTGAAGCAAGAACGGTTGATGCGCAAACCCTGAACCCTAACCCCTTAACTTGGCAAGGAGCCAAAAAATCCCTAAACCCTAAACCTTGAAGCCTTAACCCTAAATCCTAATCCCTCTGCTTCAGCTAACCGAGAGCCCTAAAACACTCAACCCAGGTTCCCAAGATTTTTTTCACGAAAAACATTTTTTCAAGATCTCTACCCAGGTTCCCTTCTGCCTGGAGGTTCCATCTATGGACTTGAGCAGGTTCGGGCCGGAGTCGTTTTGTTTTACTGATGTTTAGGGGTTAACCCTAAGCGTCCAAAATATCCAATACTTAGGTACCCGGCTTTAGGATAGTAAGTTATGTAGGTTAGTGGTTTGGAGAGTATATGATTATTAGATCCTTGGACTCTTGGGGTAATGTAGGAACCTGATTAAGAAACCCAAGGCCTTTATTTTAGGGTTCCTTCGAAGGGGTCTAGAAGGGTTCCTATAAGGGATCTATAATCAGGCTACTATAATAGTGTAGGACCCTGATTCAGAAGCCCTGGGCCTATAACCCCTAAATAGTAGGATTCGTATGAGGAACAATAATAAAGGCCCAAGGTTTCGTAATCAGGTTCCTACATTACGGCTGTTAGGTTTTCGGGTTTGGGCATGGGGTTGTTCATGGGCTTTAGTTTAGGGGCGGTGTAGGGCTTTGGGTATAGGGAGCTTGAGGCTAAGCGTTTTTTGGCTCTTTTCTTAAGCAACTAGGCGCTAACTGCCAGGCCGGGATAGAGTTTATGTACCCCAACAAAAGCACAAAAACCTTTAGATCCTAAACCTCTACAAACTAGCCCCGCAAAGCAACCCTCGGAGTAACACATGAAGGAACACTCAAAGGACTCTACAGCCCAAAGCAATTCTAGAAACCCTCGCAGATTACTTGATAACCCTGCAACCCTTGCTTAACAGCAACCCCGACCTTACACTAAACCCTGGACCTTAAACCCGAAACCCTATAGCTTGCGGCAACAGCAGCACAAACACCACAACAAGCAATACAATAACCTTTTATCAAAGCCGCGGCCCTTTCGGGGTTTAGGGTTTAGGGGTGTAGGGTTTAGGGTTTTAGGGTTTAGGGGTCTAGGGCTTAAAACGAAGCGTTCAGAATTCAGAGCCGCGGAGGTACGGGCTGAGGAGCTCCGCAGCCAAAGAAGAGGCAGACAAAAGGCTCCCTGGTCTCTTAGGGACGACATATACTATATGTATATCAATATATATATATATATATATATATATACTTATTATTATCATCATTATTCTTGTGATGTATACATACCACGTATGTATGTATATATATATATATACATATGTATATACATACACATCAAATGGGGGACTTATATGGATTTATAGTATAAGGCCAGAGCGAAGAAGGGTCTCTTAGGGACGAAAAGAACCCTCAAAGGGTTTAAGGTTCATATACTCTATAGGGATTTTAAAGTATAAGGGTATAGGGCCCTAGTTATATGGGTCCCTTGGCACCGAAGGTAGTAGTACCCTGTTGTTCATGTGTTGGGTTGGGGTCTTTAGAGATTTCCGGATTAGTTCTTTTGGCTGAGGGTCTCAGGGCATCTGGCTTATTCAAAGCGGGCATGCGGACAGTCACGAAGCGTCATCTCCTGATTGCAAGTGAGAGGAAAGAGGGGACCTTTTGCTTTTGCAAAGAAGAGAAGTCTGTGGATTGCCAAGGCTCTGAACCAGCAGGGCAGCGGCCTATCGACACCTGGGCCTAGTCCCAATCTTAGCAAGGTGATGTTTCAAGCCGGGTCCTCTTCCGGTGATGGAGAGAACTTAAAGGTAGACGTGATCGGCATCCATCAGCCAAGCGCTCATGATTCTCCGCCGATTCCATCGTCGAATTTGGGGAAGAAGTCGCGATCTGCCTCCTTGGCCTCTGTTACGGAGGAGCAGGGCGAGGTTAAGATCAAAGGGGCATCTTCAGGGTGACGATTAACCGTACTACAGGGGCGCTCTAAGGCTTATTAAACTCTAAACCCTAGACAAGATACGAGTACGATAGGGTTTGAGACGCTTCCGGGAGGAGCAGGGCGAAGTTCAGGAAGTTCGAGTCCCACCGATTGTCGTGGACAAGCGGACTCCCACCTTTACTGGATTGGGTCGGAGGAAATCCCTGGACAACCTAAGAGAGGTGCACCCGAAATTTTAGGGGTATATACCTTATTTTGGGGTCCTTATAAGGCTCCAACTAGTTACTATTGAGGGTACCAAGAGAGGTGCACAATTCCATGGTTGCTGCCCCTACTGTAGCATCGCGTACCACGACGGGCTCGCGTCGCCACTCTACAGAGACAGGGACGGCGCTGCCGCTTCTGGGTTGGTTCATCCTGTCGTTTGTCGGCATCCTCGACGCTTTGACCCAAGATCTGCCCTCTATATGGATGGTTGTCAAAATTAGGGCCCCTTTTGGGGTCCTTATTTTAACACGGCACCTCATATGTCGGGTACCTAAAATGGGGCCATAATTTTGACAACCACCCACATGACATGACCCTAAATACCCACGATTTGGGAGCCTCTACCCCCTGTTTGAGGGTAGAAGGAGCATCCTGGAATAATGCCAAGTTCTGAGAAACTGCAAAATGAACGCGGGATGCCTTTGTGATCTCAGGATTTCTTTGACGGCAGGAGGTGGCGACATCTTGCTCGATGGAGTTTGGGAGTGCAGATCGCGGGCATCATCGGTCTCATAGCGGCCCTAAGTAGATGGAAGCTTGGACGATGCGCAGGGCTTGGATTTACAGGCTTCAGTTTTGCGGTATATTGCGATTTAGTGTTTCTGGTTCGCGGAGCTTTGGCGTTGGAGCGCTTTCCGGCTTCAGATTTCAACCTTGACCATACATGCTCTGTTAAAAGGATAGGTGTTACAACTTGTTGAACGGCATTAAACAGCCCGCAAAATAGGAAACGCGTGTCGATGCTATTACCCGTAGGCCCCAAAGTGGTTCCTTTTGGGGGTTCATATTTAGAATCCTATAAGGTAATCCCAAAAAGGAACTACTTTGGGGCCTATGGGTAACTTTGATTAATGCAGATTTCACCCGCACTCCGAGTTTTGTATCTCCCGCCACGATATGGGAGTTTCCGAAAATGGGGGACCCTAGTAGAGTACCCCAAATAGTAGGATCCTTATTATAAGGACCCACAAATAAGGTACCCCCTAAGTTTCGGAAACTCCCATATTCTTCCAGACATCAAAGGACTGGGTCTCTGCAAGACATTGAGCCTTTGATCACGACGGTTCTTTACTTCTGCGGCCGGGGGCCGAGAAAGTCAGAAGCTTCACTCCGAATCCACAGGGCTCAGGGGTTTAGGGTTCTAGGGCAACAGCGCAGGTCAGTAGGACGGAAGGCGAGGAAAGTGACGATATCAAGAGAAGCGTAGTAGGTGATATCAATTTTTAGGCGTGGGTATCAAGGTTTCGGGTTTAGGGGCAGTCGTGACAGCCTTCAACCCAAACCCATTTTGACGGCCTTGAACTCGAAGTTCAAGGCCCATTCGGATTCTGCCAGGTGCCGTTGTCGGGGTGCTCAGCCTCAGGAGGAATAAGATCACATCGCTATTGGGTCCATCCGAGTATGTGCTGGATGACTACGCCACATGTCTGCAGAAGTGAGGGGGATGCGACACAAGTCAATAGTTAGGAAAACCCAAAATCTTAACACCTGGAATCCCGCTGTGAGCCCTAAACCCTAAAGCTTTAACTGCAAAGGCTTTCAACTCCTTAAGCCTTAACTATAGACTCAAACTGTAAAGCCCTGGCCACTACAAGCCCGTATCGTTGTTGTTTTTTTTTCTTTCGGGCTCTGCAAGAATTTGGTGGGCGTCTTTGCACCTTACACCATAGGATGTACGACTATGGGGTTTCAGAGTTTCAAATTTCAGTAGAGCCCATAAACAGACTTGGTCTCCTTCCACCCCATGCCATGAATTTTTTTGAAGCCTGGATAGTCAGTAATTTTAATTCTCTTAACGGTTCTGTATATAGGGAGAGCATGTTATAGCGTAAGATATCCCAGAACCGTCTAATTATTCAAGGCCCCTGTATCATCACCGCGACGTTTCCATGAAGCCTATGAGGGTTCCTACCGTTGTCCTCGTAGATGTCCTTCGGATGCTGCGTTCGCAGACAGAGTTCGGAACAGGCATCTGCAAGGATCAATTGCAATCGGATCGCGAAGCTTTTAACTCCCAGTTTAAAAACTTTCTTACGAGTTCCTACCAGCTACTGCAATCACGAGAGTGCTGTTCAGAGAAGGTAACCTGCATTAGTCTCCAGCTTGCAGAACCGGGTAACCCGACGTCCTCACAAGCAGCGGTGCAACCCTAAGTGTTTCTTGATGATGCTGTTTCATGACCCAAATCACCGAGATGGGAAGTCTCGACAGAGGGCTGCCGGTGTTGGTAGTTGCGTTGGAGTGGACTTGAGGACTCATATCAGCGAGCTGCACCCCTAATCGACGGCTTGCGAATTCACGTATTCCTTGACTAATCAAAGGTCCCTTGTCCAGACTCCTTCTTACATAGTAGCATGCCTGGATTATAGGATGTGGGCTTGTCGCCGTCTTCCCGTCGACAGATTGCTTGACGTAGGGAATGATCGTCGTTTTGAAACCATTGTGTGACGGCCAAATTGATTTGGCCGAACGACTGACTGTTCCAAGATAGCTGCCGCACTATTGAGATAGAAGTTTGACCTGGCTCCTATTAGCTATATACATAGAGATTTCAAGTGGATGACCTTGCAAATTATCCCGATTCCAATATCGTAGGAGCCTCCATGTTGCAAGTAGTACTTCGCCGTCTACCGTAAACAAACCTGGAATCCCTAAGCCCTAAACCTTTACACCAAACGAGGCTGTCGAGTCAGACTTCGTGGACGACTGGCGAAAGCTCTCCCAGGCCTCACGGATCTCGCGCCAGCGGTCTGAAGAATGAGTAATCGATAACAGTATCCTCTTGCTGTCTAGCATAATCTGCCCGAAACATGTTCTAAGTCTGCCCAAGCATGTTCTAATTCTTGTGGCACCTGTATTGCATCATTACGCGCCTGCACGTCCACATGACTAGCGGGCAGCAGCCCTATAGTCAGTCAGAAAGCAGTCGGCAGCAGCAGCAGCAAGATAGGAAGGCAGCAGGAACAGCACATGATTGGTTTAGGGTTTGGGGTTTAGGATAGGCTTTGGGCCTTAGGGTAGGGTTTGGGGTTTAGGGCAGGGCGACTGTGGAGCTGGCAATACCCCAGTGAGGCGTACCAAGTGACCGCGTGCTTTGGTTGAGGGTGGGTCTGGCGAACTCAAATCAAGGGTAGTTCTTCGAGTGATTTTGGGATATTTAGGGATTGGGGTTGAGGTTTTGGTTGGAAAGACCAGAGAGCTCCTGAGCTACTCGAGGAGAAGAAACGGGAGATTACGGCTCACGCCAGGATACTGGAAGGATCATGGGACTTACTAACTAGGGTTAGAATTGAGGTAACTATACTCATAGTCACTTATAACCCCAATTAAGGTACTTGTAACCTAACTTGCGAAGTCCCCTGGTCCTCCAAGTAGGCAGAGCGGAACAAAGTGCGGGGGACACGGAAGGATATCGAATGCGGCTCTCCAAGCGGCGATGAACGGGAAAAGCGGCGTGTCGTCTGAAGCATGCTTGGATCCAAGCTCCAACCGTGGGATGAGATCCCGTCATCGACAAAACCAGAATCGAAATGAAGACAGATGCTAGGGTTTCTTAATCAGGTTCCTACACTACTGCCCGGCCTACGTCGTGCCGCAAGAGACCGACTTGAATCTGCCCGGTCGCCTCTAAACCACCCCAAACTACCCTGAACCTCTAAACCGTAGCCCTGGAGAGGCGCGCCTCATGCAGATGAGTGGGTTCTTTGTTCTCATGCTTTGCTCCCGCTTCGGCGCCCTGTGTCTCGGCTGATGTGGACGCAGTAGGATCCTAAACCCTACACCCTAAATCCTAAACCCTAACACAAGCCTTCCTACTGGCGTTGTTGCGCGGGTTTGTTTATAAGGACCAGGTTGAAGGCATCATCTATATATGTCATAGGAATTTGCGGCGCCGGGCTGTAATATAGGGGCCTTTATAACTACGTACCTATTCTTTTGGGGGTTCCTTATTATAGTTATAGTATAATGTGCCAGGGTTTCGAGTTTCAGGTGAAGGCTTGTGACGGTGCTCGACATATCCACTTTGCATTCTCGAGACCTTCCACTTTGAAGCCTTTCCACTGCCCTACACGCAACCGCAAACCATATGTCCCAGCCCTATATGAGTGGTTGTCAAAATTATGGCCCCTTTTTGGGTCCTTAATATAATACGGCACCAAATATTTCGGGTACCCAAAAAGCGGCCATAAGTTTGACAACTACCCTTATAGACCCTAACTAAACCCGGATTAAACCGTATGAAAAGCCATAATTAATTCAACTAACCCTTATATACACCCTAATTCATGTAAGTACGTGCCCTATATCAGCCCTGACAAAACTTGACCGAATACATGTCCGAAGCCTTGGATACCAGAGTCTGAGCCCGAGGACCCCGACCGGGTATATTTACGTGTATATATATAAATACTATATTATACAACAACATAGTATGGTAGTAGTATACTAGAACGTAATTTATGGTATTAGCATAGTATGTTACTTTTGAACATAGGAACCATTTACTTTACATAATATCTGGGCCCTAAGGTCTTAACACCGAACCTCGAAAAGGCGAAACAGGATTGAAAAGTTAACACAGGGTAGTTATAATCATCCATACTAGTTCTTAGGCTTCTATCGTAGAACTATACTACCGTACAAATCCATACTGTTTCTTAGGGCTCTATATCTTAGGACTATACTGCTGTACAGTTGAAGACCCTTTTCTAATTGTAAAAAAAGTTCGCTATCTTTGAACGGTGACATCACAAGCCACAACTCGAAAGTCACGAGGCGCAGGCGCCCTTTGAAGTTCAGCTCCACCAAGTAGGGTTCAGGGTTTGGGGTTTAGGGTTCGCCACGTAGGGTTTAGTACAACAGGTACCACCGGTGCCAGGGCAGAAGCAGCTGAAACACCAGAAGCATGTACACTGCCACCAAGATGAGTTGGCAAATCAGCGAAGTGTACAAGCCTTAACCTAAACAGGCTGTATTTTTGAAGTAGTACAGTATGATTCAACCACGATTTGTGTTTTATAAGGGTGGTCATGTCTGGTGCTGCTGGTACTCGTGGTGAAAAACAGTACGTGGTAGCAGATGACGATTATTACTGGTCTAAACCATGAAGCAGCAGCAGCCGCTACTTCAAGACACGTAGTAGTTCAGACGACGACACTGACCGTCGGGGCTCTATGGCACCTTCCATCGAACTGCCAGTGCGGTGTTGTTTATCCTCGCAGTAGAAACGGGGAGAAGATGAAGCGAGCCCCCAAACAAGGTTTGTGACCGAACAGTCAGTCTTCGGCAAGAACACAGAGGCTTGCTTTCGACGAGCGCTGGGGTTCATGCCGTTGGGTATTAGGAGCCTGAAGCGGTTTGCTTTCCACGGCTGGGGCTGGAACAGGAACTTGTCCAGGTTTCGGCTTGAATGTGGCCTCTGTCATACATGCAGGTAAAAAGTTTGCACAGGCCCCGCTCAACGTCCTTCCACCTGCACATGTCCACATAGCACATGTCAATGGCAGTCATAGTTGAAAGCAGTGCAATCCACGAATGGCCGTGCAGGTATCAGCTTTCGATGTTGCCACGCTAGTGGCATTCATCGGGATGGCGGTTTGTTATTGCGCGGCTTGCTACTGCGTGCTGCACATAACTGCAGGCTTGGCTTATGAAAAATTGTGGGGTCATGTGTAGGTCTTGCGTTAAAGCGTGTGTGCTCCCATGAGTCATGAGCCATCCCTAGGTATCGATTTAGAATATTGTTGTTAATTTCCCTGATTGTTTAAAGTAGAGCCCTAAATATAGACAGTTTTGGAGACTGCTGGAAATCGACACCTAGTAATTCACGTGGGAGTTTCCGAAAATAGGGGACCCTAATATAGTATCCTAAATAGTAGGATCCTCATTATAAGGACCCCTAAACAAGGTACCCCTATTTTCGGAAACTCCCATGTGACTTCCAGGTCTTGAGCTGGCAGTGGACAGCTTTGCAGTGCACTTTTTCAGTGCAGGTTCGGGCTGCGGACTCAAACACTCTGTTTTGGTGCTGCTGCTGCAGAAAACAAGATTTAATGTAGTAGTAGTCGTAGCAGTAGTCGTAGTAGTAGTAGTAGTAGTCGTAGTAGTAGTAGTAGTGGTAGTAGTAGTGGTAGTAGTAGTGGTAGAAGTAGAAGTAGAAGTAGAAGTAGTAGTAGTAGTAGTAGTAGTAGTAGTAGTAGTAGTAGTAGTAGTAGTAGTAGTAGTAGTAGTAGTAGTAGTGGTAGTAGTAGTAGTAGTCGTCGTCGTCGTCTCGTCGTCGTCGCCCCCGTCGCAGTCGTAGTTGTAGTCGTCGTCGTCGTCGTCGTCGTAGACTACTAGCTCCTCTCACGGCACCGTCTATGAACTACAGCTTTTATCTTTCGGCTGCACTGTTGTCCTTGATTCTCTTCGGCTTGGCGTGATTGAAGGGCTTCCCGAACCTACCCCGGTGGCATAGATGCTAAACCCCAGAAACCCCTAAGGCCTAAATCCTCGACCCAGAGGCGACATGGAGGCTGCAGTGATGAGCTGGAACGTTGTCCAAGCCACCTTGCGACAGACTTCGAGCAAACTCAGCGACTTCCTTGTCCTGCTACTTAGTACTGGGTTTGGGGTCTAGGGTTCTGGGGGTGTAGGGGTGTAGATTTCATACAGGAGTTAGTGGTTTAGGGGTTGAGGGGGTTTAGGGCTGAGGGGTTTAGGGTTTAAGAGGGGGGGACTAGTAGTTGAGTAAGTAGCCTTAAGGGTTTAGGCTTTGGGGGTTCGGTGGGGTTGAGGGCGTAGGATTTGGGTTGTGTATAATGCCAGCAAGATTTCAATTGTCCTGTTCATGTTCTGGACCAAAGAACTCGGCAACTAAGGCTTGCTTCCTCCTGCATAGCGGCGCTGATCCTGTTTGCATACCAGGTTGCATCTATGACGTTATCAGATGAGAGAGTGGCGGTGCTGGACATCGTCATGTGGACAGGGTGGTTGTATTCTCCCCTGCTCCTGTCTCCTGAACCTATTAGAGAGGAAGGTTATAGCATCCATGTCGGTTCGATGTCGATGATATTCAAGCCTGTCCAGAGCTGTTCCAACACCGATCCAGATTCCTTCATAGCGGGCTAAGTAATTACCAAGATTATTTTGGGGGTTTCCTGGGCCCAAACCCTGTTCTAATTGTTAAGGTTCCTCTATGTCCTGTCTACATCAGCAGCAGTCACCGAGAAAGTCGATCGACTGGTACCTTTGGTGAACTCCTGGTCCTTTGATGGCCAAGCGGTCCTCGACGAGACGCGACAGTATGTGGTGCAATACATCTTGCACAGCCGTGCGGGATTTTACGCTAGAGGTATCCGTGTCTTGGGCTTTGTTTGTCAATGCTTCTCCTGGAACCGGGGTTTCCAAACCTGCAGACGAGAGTCGAAGTTCGCCCACACCTATCCTCCTACCAGAATCTTTAGCGGCCGCCCCTACACCCACGCACACACACACACACACAGACACACACACACACACACACACACAAGAACTTAAAAAAACACGCGCACACACTGCTCCAAACCCTGGACCGAACACAGCGAATAGGGCTTGGGGTTTAGGAAGATGCCAACTACTTCTACCACTACCACTACCACTACCACTACCACTACCACTACCACTACCACTACCACTACCACTACCACTACCACTACCACTACCACTACCACTACCACTACCACTACCACTACCACTACCACTACCACTACCACTACCCCTACCACTACCACTACCACTACCCCTACCACTACCACTACCACTACCACTACCACTACCACTACCACTACCACTACCACTACCACTACCACTACCACTACCACTACCACTACCACTACCACTACCACTACCACTACCACTACCACTACCACTACCACTACCACTACCCCTACCACTACCACTACCACTACCCCTACCACTACCACTACCACTACCACTACCACTACCACTACCACTACCACTACCACTACCACTACCACTACTACTACTACTACTACTACTACTACTACTACTACTACTACTACTACTACTACTACTACTACTCCTGCTGCTACTACTTGCCCGTTCGCCCCAGGTATTACGGCGTCAAATGTGCAGAAGCTCAGCTACTACTTCGCAGCGGGCTCGTTCGGGCTCCTCGCCAACCTGTGGCAGTGATACAAGAAGCTGAAAACGGCTATCACTTTGCAGGGCCACAGGTGCTTTTCAAGATCATGATTTTTAAATTCGCTGAAAGGCACGAATCTCAATCGGGTCGCTGCCTTGGACGGGCGGGCTTGGATGTTGTGCATTCAAAGCTCTTGTGTTTCCCAGAGAGCCTGATACCGAATGATCGCACCTTGTGCCGGAACGCATACAGCAGGACCCCTATGTATGTTCCTAAACCCTAAACCCCCAAAGCCCTAAACCCTAAACCCCCAAAACCCTAAACCCTAAACCAAAACCCTAAACCCTAAACCCATAATGTTGCTGATTTAAGTAAGGTGTATTGTGCTCCATTAGGCCCCATAGGCCCCTTAGTAGTTCCTTTTTGGGATTACCTTATAGGAGTTTAAATATGAGCCCCCCAAAGAGGAACTACTGTGGGGCCTATGGGTCATGCGTACAGAATTGTCGGTGCAGACTTGCGCGCCTCAAAGAGTGCTGCGCAAGTCCCTGTTTATAACATCGTCTCCTCGCAAAGCCACAGTAGTCTCCCTGCGGCTCCCAGTACTGTAAGCATTGGAGCCCGGGGTGGCATGGAAGCTTTATGCAGACAACGCGAGCCCAGCTCGGCAAACGACTTTTGAGTAGCTGGGTCCACGTTCAAAGCAGTTTCGCCGTTTGCTGAAGAAACACAACTTGGTCAATGTCAGGGATTATTTTTTTTGCTTTCTGTAGTTTTAACTTCCGATCATGTTGAAAGGGAGCCTATGCCGTGTCGTTTTGCTTTTCCAGGAAGGGACCCAGAGAGCCTCGGCTCTGGCAATGACCCAGATGCTGGCTCTTGACATCTCGACATCAGGCTTGCGCAATAGGTATGGTAGTTCTAGGAGCCTTAAAACCCTTGAGCCTTCAACCCTTAGCCATCAACGCAACAGAGTCGGCCAGGAGTTGAGAGAAAGTGTCAGCATCATCAGACCGTTGAATCGCAGTTGACCGTTGCAGACGAAGCCTCGAGTGAAGTGCTTCGCTTGCAAACCGGGAGGTTGGTTTCTTAATGAGCAGTCGCAGCTGTTGTCATCCAAAAGTACGGGCCTGAATCACTATCCCAAAGGGTCCAAGGATCATTATGGTATATACTTATATGTAGGGTAGTTTGGGGGTCTAAGTATAGACCAGAATGATACTTGGACCCTTTGGGCATGGCAACAGTATTCCTTCGTGTTCCCGAGCTTGGTTGCGGTATGCAACGGGACTCAGCTGTGATTCTCTCCAAGGGTGAAAGGAGGGACCCTTAACAAGGACCCCTAGGTATATACCCTTAATATAGCTATTATATACCGATTATATAGCCCATGATAGGGTAGGCGTCCCCATTAAGGGTCCCTCCTTTTCCCCTTTGACTCTCGGCTGCGAAGCAGGAGAAGCCTTCGAACGGACCCTCGAGCCTTTTGGGTTCAGGATTTAACCGTTTAGGGTTTAGGGTTTAGGATTTAGGGTTTAGGGTTTAGGATTTAGGGTGCACGGTTTAGGGTTGAGGATTTCCTGGATATGCAGCACGCGGAATGTCAAGTTCGGGCAATTGCAATCCGAAATATGCAAGCATACCGTGTAGGGCATCCCATTGTACAAACCAAGTGGTTCCAACTTCTTGAAGATATTGGGGGGTTATACAGAAACACCGAGTCATACATAAAGGGTTCCAAGTACACAGGATTTGCTTGCTTTCTTGCCCGAAACCTTGCAATTGTTATGATGATGCTGATGTGAGGTTGTCTGTCAGTGTGTTGTGATGATTTTGATGCGAGGTTGTCTCTTCGCTTCTCGTGAGGCTGCATGGCGTGATGTGAGGTTTTCGGAAGGTTGACGAGCACTGTTTCGAGGGGTTGCCCTTTATCTGATCTGAATCATTGTCAAAGCACAAGGCACGGCTACTGGGAGTCGCCTCACATCGCAAAATGGCACTGCGCGTGTGGTGCCTTGACGATTTGTCCTCAAATCTGGAACCCTCTCATTCTCTAGTTTGGTGGCCTGTCAAATGGCTTTCAAACCAGGTCATCCACACCACCTCGGCCACTAGGTCACAGGTGTAGGGTTTGGGTTCCATGTCGTTAACTGGTGTGTACATAGAGTTTGCGGTATATGTTATGCTTCTTACTATACATGCTACATTATACATCATATGTGTTCACTAGTATTTATGCTCTATAAACCAGGTATATGAAAATCGCTGGATATGGCTGCTGGGTCCCACAGGACCTTGATTTGAGTGCTCTGCGGGGGCAGTTCCTGTTCAGCCTGAAGCGGGTGGCTCAGCAACGAGTAATATGAGGGGGGTCGGACTACTTACTAATTCTGTCCTACTACAGTATATGGTACATCTCCCTCGTCTCATTAGTGAGGCCCCTATATTATTCGTTGCTGGGGTTCTGGCTGCAACTTCGGTGGCCGCTCGAACTGATGCAACGCCGCCAGGATGCGCCAGGAAGATCCCCTAAGCCCTAAACCGGCCTGACGAGTTGCGGCAAATGCTTCGAATGCGGTGCAAAAAAGTCGCTGTCAATCCATCGAGGAGTGTTTGAAGAGTGCTGTTGCAAAGGGTGGTTCTTTCTTCTACTCTTTGTTGAAGGACTCCGGACCTACAGGTTCACACCACCTGCATGAAAACCAGGGAGGGTTGTTAAGACGACGCCTCAAAGTCCTGGTGCCATGTCGCACGAGTTTTATACCCAGGACCCTGTTTGTCGTTTGTGTTCCTAAGACTAGAGCGATGCGCAAAGATGCGCCGCAAAGGCACGTCAGGCCAATGTACCAAAGTACAAAGCTACCACGTAGGGTTGTAGGCATGGGGTTCGGTGCTCGGCAGCTGCAATGTCCGGCTGCTGCAAGCGCATGTTTTATTTGGGGGTTTCCGAAAATTAGGTACCTTACTTTAGGGTCCTAAGAATAAGGATCCTACTATTTGGGGTACTATATTAGGGTGCCCTGTTTTCGGAAGCTCCATTTTGTATTCGTTGTGAAACATACTCCGGATCATCCTGATCCCTTCAGCCCCAATCCCCCAAACCCTGACTTACCTTTGGTTAGTAGGGAACGGTGTACAGTTGTAACTACGATTGCTACCATTCTTCCACCCGCTACTAACCAAAGGTAGGCTGAATCCTTGACCCAGGACCTCAGATGTCTCCCACAGCAGAATAGGTAGCTTTCTGCGCCCAAGAATCTCATTTGTTTATTGTCATCCTCCAGTTTACTAGGATACTGGACAAGAGAGATTTTCTTGCATGTCCATATCCACACGGATCAATAAGAAGCCCTGAGCGCGTGGCTTTTTTGAAGTTTTGGGTAAACCCTAAACTAGGCCCTAAACCCTTTCAGGAGGCGAACTCGAAACGTCACTCGGCACAACAGCTTTTGTGTTTCGGGTGTAGGCCCTAGGGTAGGCAGCTTTAATCGCGAGAACGTGGTGCTGCGTTAGACATGGAAAAACGATAGTAGAAGTAAGCAGGGACCGTCCTTCTCAACGAAGGAATGTAAAGGGGTTAAGCTTTGCGCTTTTGCGGGAAGAGAGGAGCGATTTATCGAGTGTTGATTCGACGCCTTGTCTCGCTAGTTAAGGCTTATGAGCCCTGAAAGCCCTAAACCCTACATGAATACGCCATGTGCTTTACTGCTGTTCGTGCTTTATTGTTTGCCTGATGTTCAGGGCTCATGGGCCTGCGGGCTGTTCGCGCCCGCGCAGCGGTGGGGTGTTCCGCTTGTGTTGCATCGGGAGTCGAATTGGGAGATGTTAATACCGATATGCAGTGGAGCTGGAGTCGTCGTCATGATGTTATGTGCGCCACTGTGCCCATGGTGACTTTGTTGCTGATATTTCGGTTGTAGTCTTTTATCATCACCATAGTCAACATCATCGCCATCAGTGAGAAAAGTCGGCCAGAATCTGCGTGCTGTTGGAGGTGCCCTGGAAGCAGAAAAGCGGCGACTCTCAACACCCCTGACTCCAGCGATGTCGGACCATGATGACGACGACTGCTCCTGGTGCTCCTGCTGCTACTGCTACTGCTACTGTAACTCCTATCCCCATCCCTACTCCTACTCCACTCCGACAAAGACGCTCAAGCAACAACAGCAAACTTTGCCTTTCGCCACCCTCACATTGACTGGCTTGCTGCAATTTCCGCCGTTGGCTTTCAGCTGTGTTTCGCAGCATTCTCAATATTGTACAGCAATGCTGTTCGGATCGCCGAGGCAATTTCACGGACACCGCCAACTTCACATTGCGTTGTTTGGTCTGCCAGAAGGGATTGGTTGGGCAGACGGATGCCGTGGAGCATGCTAAGGCACCAGCTCGGGAGATATTACAGAGTCATCTGGATTCGGCTTTGCAGAACTGAATTTTGGTCACGGAGGCAAAGAAGCTTCGGCTTCGTGTAATTAAACAAGTTTGAGCATTGAGGCAAAGCGGCCCGAGCCTTACGTCCAAGCCGAACACTCAGCCTCGTTTCCCAATGTGTTTGAGCCTTTGCAAAGAGAGTTCGCTACCCCTAGGCCCTAAAGCCTAACACCCTATACCCTATAAATCCTAAGCCCTAAATCCTACACCCTAAGCCCTAAAACCCTATATCCTAAACCCTAAACCCGAGATCCTAAACCCCAAGCCCTCAAACCCTAAACCCTAAACTCTAGGGGTTAGGGTTTAGGGTTAAGGGTTTAGGGTTAAGTTTAGGGTTTGTGGGTTCAGGGTTCGGTCTAGCCTTAACTCTATAGTTCTTAAGGGTCGACGGTTTTACGGCGCAGAGAAACTCCGGGCCTTTATGACAGGTGAAGGATCATGGGACTTAGTAACTAGGGTTACAAGTAAGGTAACCATACATATACATAACTACTTATAACCCCAATTGAGGTACTTATAACCTAACTTACTAAGTCCCCTGATCCTCCAAGTAGGTGAACAGGATTACAAGGAGAGCTTCAGCGTAGAGCATTCTTCGCACGCCTCGTTGAGAGGAGCT